TTTGTAAATGATTTTTTTCAAAAACTTTTAAATTATATTTTTAACTGTATTAGGTTGCATAGTTTAAAGATTTAATTAATTTTGAAATATTTGTGTAAGGCAGAAAAAATATAAGACATCATTTTGATCTAGCTACCTAGTACCTATAGATTATAATAATAAGAACATAAAAATTCTGAAAAACTTTGTTCCAAAGTTGTAGGGAAAACATCACAAAATTCATTTTTTCTGAAACACCCTATTTAAACAAAATAGTAAAAATTTAATAAGTATTTATTTTCAACAATGCTTGGTTTTTAATAACCAATATATTAATTTAATTAAAACTTCCCTATCATACTTACTTTTTAAATTTTTACCCATGACCTACCAGACATGGATTTACATAACACATCAGGGTTTATTTTTATTGAAATTTCAAATGCCCAAAGGCCCATAAACAACTCAATTTTTGCGCAAAATATGATTTGAAGTTGTTCAAATTTTTTGTTTTTTAGATTTGTATTGTACATGTGAAAACACAAATTTAAAAAAAAAAAACTGTTAATTGATGGATAACTAAATTAGAAAAATTGTAAATAAGTACAAATTAATAACATACATACAATAATTAACTATGATTATAATTGCTCCTATTATGTTTTAAAATAATATGGATAACAAATCTTGTTCTGATACAAATTTTCCTTGATAAAAACAGCTAAATAATTTTAAATAATTTGTCTTTAAGCAGTCGTACTGAAGAATTTTATATACTTACTCTATATTTTGTAGTGTACATGAGAACAGTCAGTTCACTTTATGAATTCCAGTTCTCAGATTTTCAAAACGTTTATACAAATGTTCACCTCAAGCTGAATTTAATATGTTTTTAGAATTCTTATCACTTCACTACATGGATTGGACCTAGTGAAGGGAAATATTGTTCTAAATTGATGTGAAATATATGTGTTCGATGAGGGAAGAATATTTGGTAGTTAGAAGTGAAAAAATGGTCATGCAATTATATAAGTTATAAAACAATAGGTACAGTGTTATAATATACTTCACTTATAATATTACTCAAGATTCATTATACAATTTTGATTGAATTGCAATTATATAAACTTCAGAATTCGACTTCATGGCTTGAGTAGTTTTATAAGTTTTGTGTTTTTGTTTTATGTTTTTATTGATTTATTAACCTAACACACACATCGTAACAGTAGATGTTTGGCAAGGAGGTTATACACAAGTGTAATATACTTACTTCTTTGTAATCATTATCAACAATATTTCAGTTGCTTATCAATAAATATAAAAAAAAATATATAGCTGAAAAATAGCTGAATTTAGCTGAATAGCTAAATTAATAGATTTGAAGAAGAAAACAGTGAATTCAAAATTGAAGAATAAATTAAAAATGAATTAGGTGTCTAAAGTAAAAGTAAAGAATTAATTAAAAGTGCATTAAGTTCCCAAAGAAAAATCAAAGAGAATTCAAAGTCCAAAGTAAGGATTTAGATAGTGATAAAGAATCACCAGTTAACCCAGAATCCCAGAGAAAAATAATCACCCGTAGTCAGTTAAAGATAGAATATACCAAGTTAGAATTTGAGTTAAAAAGGAAAAATAAAACAGAAAAAGAAATAAGTATACTGTGGAAAGAAGCAAGGAAGTTTATATCAGTATATAAAAAAAAAAAAAGGATGTAGATAATTTGATAAATGAAACCAGGATTTCTGGAGACGTACATAAAGTAATTAAAAATCGAGTCTTATGAATGATTATTTAAAAGAATCGTTCAAAGACCAATATGGCTTGCAAACTGAATTAAACAATGTAAAAATGCGTAATGGGGATAATATAAAAGATTATACTAGAAAGGTTGAAAATATATATTATAAATTATGTAATATCAACACAAAAGGAAAATCCGAAAAGGATAGGAAAGTATTACAAGATGCCTTAAGAGAGCAAATAATACAGGCATATATAGGTGTATTATTATATTCAGTTTGAACTATAGTGAAGGNATTATTTAAATATCTAAATAATAAAATGTAAAACAGTTACAAGTAAAGCAGGAGAATTGATTCACTTGTAGATACGGGGTGTAAAGTAAATTTAATGAAGTTAGAATGTATGAAAAAGGAAATTTTAGTAAATGAAAATCAGAAAATATGTTTAAAGGGTATAAATGAAAAAATTGTAAAAACTTTAGGTATGATAATTATACCAATACCAATAAGGGACATAGTATTTAATATAGAATTTAAATATATAAGAATAGTTTTCCTATACCAGGATATGGGATATTTGGAAGATTATTTATGGTTTTATTATTTATTGTTGACAAAGCAACACTATCAACTGACCTACACTCAGAATATTTTATTTGTTAGCAACGGTATATTGTTGCTTACAGAAAACTGAAAATTCGCAAAAGCCAATTTTTAGTCAACTAATGAAATCTACCATAGTTGATTATGATTGTAATAATGACTATGATAATAATTTTTTATCTGTTCCAATTTCATGAATATTTAGTTTAATTTATAATGTGATTTAGCAAATTTGCAAATAAGATTTATTGCCATTAAGCAAACTAACCATTATGCAATTTCTGTTTACAAAATGTCACCAAGTGAAAAAAATCAGATTTATAAAATATATATGTTTAAATGCCTTATTTCATTCTTATATATGTAAAAATAATGTTTCTAAGTGATATCATAAATAGTTTATGTACCACATAACATTTTTGGCAAAATTGAATAAAATGTAATCTTAATTTGAAAGTGAAAAAAAAATTAATTTTAAATTATTGAGACAATTTTTATATTTGAGGTTTTTTTATTATCTACCTGTGTTATATTGAATTATGATTGAGTTTATCAAATTTTTTCAGGATAAGGCAGTCACATTTTATGTCCAAGCATATCATTTAGCAAAAAATGGAAATTGAACTGTCATGTTTATGGATTAGTTTGCTATCAGTTCTATCAAAACTCAACCTAGTTTACATTAAAAGTAAATATTTTATTATATAGGTACATGACTATTACAATATCATATATAATAAAACAAATTGTTTCAGATTAATGCTAACAATTTATATCTATATAACAAAAATAATAATGAAAATCTGCACACACATAAATATAAATTTGTTTTTAATTATCTTAACAATTTAGTATCAACTGAGGATCGCCATACATTGCTAAACCTCAGTGATATTATTATAGTTCTTGATATTTTCAATAATAAAATACATTTTATATTCAGTGTTTTCAAAGTAGATTCGTAAAGACACTTGGAGTTAATCTTCATCTTTTATGTGGTTTTGTTTTTTGGAATTAATAATTTGTACTAAGGTGTCTGATGCAAAGCCAGGTTTAAGAAATGTGTCGGGATAGGTAGTGCTATCGCCCGCTTTTATGAGTGCCTCAGAGATGAGAAAGTGAGGGATAGTCGGAGAGACATTCGAATAAATTATCCATTTGGTCGAATTTACCAGTTTGTGAATGTTGATGATATGGTTATTTACATTGATTGAAGGGCTTCGATTTACAATATCTTCCACAATGGGTCTTTTAGCGAAGTAAACCTAGTTTACACAGAAATGATTATTTGATATGATTGATATTGATGATATTATTGATGGAAGCAAACTTGATGTTTGAAGGGCTGGGTTAATGTGCTTAATACTTTAATGTATTTGACTTAAGGAATCCCCTCAACTGTGTTTCAAATGATTGCTTGGTCTTTTTTAGGAAAGGAAAACTCTGCAACGGTTTCCGCGAATGTTTTTATGCGTGACCATCCTTAGAGGTATCAGAGGTATCAGAGGGTGAACTGTCAGAACAGAGGAGATCGATTATGGATAATTTTATAATTGTGTGAATTAAGAACAGAATGTTGGGATTGTTTGATAGGATTTAATGAAAGTTTATTCATAGTCCATTGGAAATAATGTCTGTTGAAAAAAGTTATAATACGGTTTAGTTAGTGACATAACAGGCTTATCGCCCATAATGGCTATATTATGACCCCACAGGCAATTTTAATGAGAATAGACCTTGAACTAATTTTTATTATGTCTCATAGCATAACTATGCGAACAATCATGTATTTAAATTTTAAAAAAAAAAGGAGTAGTAAGGGCTTTTTACACATTTAATTGAGTTCTTGAACATTAAGTATAATAAGAATGGTGACCACTTAAAACCTGGAATGTAAAAACTTAAGCTATACAAATCTGAAAGTACATGTAATGTCTTTGAGATAATCTAATATTAACCAGCAATATTATATGTATTCCATGTATTAGGATTTAATATTATTATATATTTTACCACAAATACCTTACACCTTTCTTTTTTTTCACTCAAATATAATGATTTATGAGTAATAAATCGTTTTAATTTACCACAACATATTTATTATAATTTTATTTTTTTTTTAGTTGTTTTTGTAGTTTTTTAAGTTGGCAGGTCACAGTGACCCGATTAAAAAAAAAATTGTGAAACATTAAATAAAATTAAGAGTCCACAATCAAAATACCAAAAAGTATGAAATATCAATAGATTGAAATGTTGACCGAAAAACATTAAAAAAAAAATCAAATATGGACAAACCAGTAAATTATTAGGTACTAAAGTAAATATTGACAAATTACATAAATTATAATTATAATAATAATATAAAAGCCATTAAATTATGTTTAAATATTATTTTGTGTAAATAATATTAATAATTTAAAATGAAACATTATTGATAACAATATTATATTATACATTTTGCTATCTGAGATTATTTTTTTATAAATATGCTATTAATAATTTTAGATTGAGAGTGGGGCAAGAAATATAATAGTTTTACAAAGATTTTTATTTTTTTTTATGTGAATCCTTTCTAGAAAAAAGTATACTTTGATTATCAAGAATAGCACCTTTTCTAAAAGGAAATGTTTTCTGGCTGGTTACAACAGTTGACATTTTAACTTGCCTATAATTTGATTATTAATGATTTTTATCACACTCAAATATCTTAGGTACAATTTTTATTTTCTTATGGTCTGCAGCAGCTTGTAGGATTTGTTCTGAATTTTTAGTTTTTATCTGTAAAAATTAAACATAATATTACAACACGAAACCAATAGTACTTTATTATGTACAAATCAATATCAAATAATTAAAAAAGTAAAAAAAAAAAATTTAATTAAAATAAAAATAATTTATAATACACTGANGCTTGGACATAAAATGTGACTGCCTTATCCTGAAAAAATTTGATAAACTCAATCATAATTCAATATAACACAGGTAGATAATAAAAAAACCTCAAATATAAAAATTGTCTCAATAATTTAAAATTAATTTTTTTTTCACTTTCAAATTAAGATTACATTTTATTCAATTTTGCCAAAAATGTTATGTGGTACATAAACTATTTATGATATCACTTAGAAACATTATTTTTACATATATAAGAATAAAATAAGGCATTTAAACATATATATTTTATAAATCTGATTTTTTTCACTTGGTGACATTTTGTAAACAGAAATTGCATAATGGTTAGTTTGCTTAATGGCAATAAATCTAATTTGCAAATTTGCTAAATCACATTATAAATTAAACTAAATATTCATGAAATTGCAACAGATAAAAAATTATTATCATATAATCATAATCAACTATGGTAGATTTCATTAGTTGACTAACAACAATTTAGTTGTATCTAGTGCTTTCAGTATGTATAAAATATAAAATAACTTATATTAAGGATGTTGCAATCAAAATAATTACACCAAAATTTACACCAAAACATTTTTATGGTATATTTTCTAAGCTATTGTTCATTAAACTATTGATTTCGACCGATGCGGAATGGTTTCGTGGTAGCTGTCACTGAAGTGACTATGTGGTTATGAGTCATGCTGACTCGAGCAAAGCTCTAGGTCGAACAGCCTCGCAAGCAGGCGCGGCTACAAACCGGGGTATTACTCTAGAACCTAATCAGTTTATCGGCGGGCTAACACCACACCGAAGGTTGTCCGTGACCAAAAACGGGAAGCATGAAGCAGACTGCGGCCATACCAACAGTGTGGACAGGTAGCGCTTGGCCCTAACCCATTGGTACGCGAGGCTCCATGTTCTCATTTATTTGAAATTTGTGGTGTTATTATGCTCTATATTTATATACATATTATTATTATCAGTAAAAGTTATTTAATAAATTTAAACATTTTTATGGTATATTTTCTAAGCTATTGTTCATTAAACTATTCAATTTTTCTACAAATTATTAATATACAAAAGAGTTTGTGTTAAATTGATTAATTAAATAATTGTATAAATTATTTTAATGGTAATTTTTGGTTCATTCATTTTAAATACCTTATTAGGTTCTTTTTTCAATTCACAAAACTTATTGAATACGATTGAAAATTGTATAATTAAAAATGTTGCACTGTTTCATAAACAATAGTGACATTTGATCAACATACACAATTATAAATTCAAATTGAAATTAAAAAATTGTGCCAGTACATACCTGTTATTACGTTTAACTAATCGCTTCATCAATCCTAGACAATTATTATTGTAACTATTGCAATATTTTTAATTTCCCCAGTACAATCAGAATGCTATTTACTCATTGTAACAGGACCATTTGAACAGTTAGATCTAAATAAAATATAATTATTACCATATAGGAATAATTATAGATATCGATAAATAACGGTACCTACTTTTAATCAGGCGGTTTCAATTTTTTTTATTAACTTAGAATCTTCCAATGACAGCTAGTATTTTGTTGCGTGCCATCAAATTACGGACAAGTACTTCTGGTTATGAATGTCTAAAAGACTCAACTGTAATATCAAGTGTATGTTAGTTTCTTTTCACACAAAAATTAAATGTTCAAATAATTAATAATTACAGAGAATAGAGTGACTTGTAGATGAGTTTTGTTGGTTGTTCTGAAACCAAACACTGCAACCACCATAGTGGAGTGTTCTAAAAACTACTTGTTTCAAGTGGCCTCAAAAATAATTGTAATATTTCAATTTTGTTTATCCACTTTGTGTTGCTGCTATGTACATCCTGTTGATTGTCTTCATTTTTTAGGTGTTCCCAGGAAACATGTGTTATTTCTAAAAAAATACAGACATACTGTATAACTGTCCCCTAGTAGTTATTTTACAAGTTAAATACAATATTATGATTAAGCTACACTATTGCTAAATTAAGGTAATTCAAAATTGTAAAATGCATCCATTTGGTACTTTGCAAATTTCATGGCAATTTAGTGAGTTTTAGTTTGTGGTTTATTTCTATAGAACCACCATCACGGCAATGCGCTCTGCCAACTTTAATCATTCATTATTAAGATATAACATTATCAAACTACAATAATTTTAAAATGAATTAATAAAAGAAAATTGAATTGTTTATATGATACTAGATATATTACCCCATTGCTCGTCATTTGATAACATTCAGGAAGGCTGATGAACAATCCAATCTTTATTAACTTATGGCTAAAACAAAATACGAAATGTTTATATTTTAATAAGTAATAAATAGGTATATATATATATATAGTATGTTAAATAACTTATTTAGAAGTTATTTCATAAGAATGGACAACAAATTGAAAACCATAAATTCCTATCACAAATGATGTTTGTTTTTTTTTTTACAATCATGATCGAAACGATATTGATAAAAGATAGTGGTTACCTTTTTGATAAACTCATGATAATTGTGATAAAATAAAATGGAAACGTATTTGTCTGATTTCATGTGAGCTGTTATTATATGCTATTGATACTTACCTTTTTTTTTTCACATACATTTTTAGTTTTGTTGCTGTTAATTATACCTATATCATATTGACATCAAAAAATAATATTTTTTTAGATATATTGTTGTTGGTGGGGAAGATAATTTAGTTACAATAAACAGTATTTCTAACTAGATGGTTGTTGCTGGTTTGCAAAGACACCATAATTGGGTTAATGTTGTAGTTTTCGATCCATACACGAGTTCTTTACCATCAATTGAATCATGTTAACTTGGTTGCTACTGGCTTGGATCTATGGGACAAAACACAAAATTATGTTTATGGGATATTACTGATGACGTATTACACCATGTGACATAAACTCTAGCAATACCTAAACAAAATGGATTTGTTCATTATACCCCATAGTTTTATAGTTTTATGTGTATGTATAAATATATTTTTATCATGACAATTATATTTTAGTCTCCTAAAAAATTGAAAAATGTTACATTTGTATATTATATACTATTAATCCTATCTAAATTATTGACGTTACACTATGCATATGATAACCTTTTTTTTTAGTCTTTAATTTTAAACAATTTTAATGACTGGTAAATAAAATAATATCTTAGGCAAATTTGCATAACATTATTGTAATAATATATAAAATAAAATATTTATAGGGACACACAAATTTAAATAAAATATAAAACTATAACAATTTTATATTATAGCTGAGATTTTATACTTATTTGTTTTTATATACATAATATAGAATAACCTATATTATATTAATTTTAATTTTAATAAATCTATTTCAAAATATATATTTTTTATTTTATTTCTATGTGACACTAGTCAACAATTTAATTTAAATAATTGTATGTTTCCATTCATGTGAAATAAGAATATTAATTTTATTTATACTTTTTTTTTTTTTTGTAAAATCATAAATATTTATACATATTTTTTTTCTAATTTTGAAAGTAATGATTTTCAAGGGTCTATAGAATTTTTAATTATTTTATACATTTTTCGTTTGAAATACATGGTTTAGGTTCTATGGATAAAACTAATAGACCAAACAGAAATGTTTGAAAATTTAACAGGAGGTTCATTATAAGTTGTATTTAGTGGTCAACAATAAAATGTTGAGTTTAATGTAAGTACAAAGTATTTTTTTTTTTTTTTGTTATAAGAATTACAATATCAAATATTTTGACGAAAATCCTTAATATAACGGCCTTTTAAAACGTGTATAACCGAATTTCGCTCCGAATCGGTTTTCATTAGCTATGGTCTAACTTACAAGTTACAGATATAAATTAAATAACTTTATGTACCTACCCATCATATTATCTAATTAACTTGTTACATTACATTAATTTTTAACATCATTACATTCTATTTATACTGCGTACGAAATTAAAAATTAACATAATATTAATAAATGAAAAAAAAAACCAGTGATAAAATATAAAATTAGTGAAAAAATTTAACGTCCTGTTCGGGGATCGAACTCGTGACCGACAGGTGGCGATGTACCGTGAACGTCACTGCACCGATATAAAAGCAGTGCGTGACGGTAATATTTAGCGTTTTTAATGTATAGTAGAACGCATCTTTTTGCGGGACTTTTTCGTACTAAAATGTTATAAACGAAACCTCACTCATCAGTGATCGACTAACGAAAAAAAAAATGTTTTCATATTATATTATTCGTGACCTACGTTTATGCAAAATATCGCCGTGAAACGTGAAAATCCAAACAAACATTCGTGTTTATGATATTATTTTTATTTTAAGTAGTAGGATTGGTACGAATCTTGCAATTTGATAATACCGTATCATCGTATCATGATATTATATTACGTACTATGAACTATTGAAAATAATGATGATTTACAGGAATCTCGGTGTATGAGACCAGTCCTATACGCAAAAATCGGTGAGGAGGTGTAGGAAACCGACTGAACGGAGATTAGTGATATTTCAAACGATGTTCACAGCGTTGTTCATATCTACTACGCCGCTAAACTCAAAAACGGTCTGGACTACAATTCCACATAATATTGTTATTCAGGAGGATAATTGTTAAATATATTGGGCCGTTCCCGGTGGTGGTGCTAAACCGGGACAACCCGCGACGGAGTAGGAGCAAGCCCCAAATTCTCCGCCTACTTTCAAAAAATTAGTTTAACATTTGAACNATACCCGTCACTCACAAACCTCAGATACTTATGCTCAAACCTGCAATCCAACTGATTAAAAAAAAAAATTTGAGCGACACCGACAACTTAAAAACCTCGATTTTCCCGGCTGCCGCTCGTTCAAATTCGCGTTCAAACAGCATTTTCCAAGAGTTTACGACCGTATTAACGTTGTTTAAAGCTCAATCCGATCGTTACAATATGAAAAAGTACCCCGCCTAAATGTAGAACATTAAAAAGCGCCATCTACCGCCACAGTCCAACGGTTTGCGCTCGTAGTGTCTGAATACGCGTTCGCCGAACATGGTTGCAATACTTGTTCACGTTAAGTAAATAATCGTGTCTATCCGTATATTTTAATATACCTACGTGATAGTATCGCGTGAAATAAATGATGATTTGATAATAATGCGAAACTATTACTGGACGGAACAAATTGGTACCTATTTAGTAACAATGTCAACAACAAAAAAAAAAAAAAAAATCGTTCACTGTTTATACGCGTTGTGATCGCCGACTAATTCACCGACAATTTCGAAATATCATTATTGCGTGAATACGCACTGGATTTAAATCATTTACTATACTAACTGCAAGCTAGGAACGTAAGCACGGTAAATTTTCGCCGATTACTTTTTACGGGCGAGTGTGTTTTTACCGAAAATATTTGCGTGCGACGCCTAAAATTGAACGTCTCAACGTGTGTGAATATTCATGACGGATCAATAGAACGGAACAGTTGAGGTATTTGGAATTTCGACCAGAGAAGATTCCCGCGTAGCGTCTACCCAGTACTCTATAATTACCCTGCGCTGTGAAAAAAAATAAATTATAATCATAACGATGGTCCGAACAACCCATGGTGGGCAGATTAGTAACAGTGACGGTCACATAATATATTAAATATACGTTTATATATGTGTGTGTGTGTGTGTGTGTGTATTGCATTTTTTTATTTTTTATTTTTCTATATACGAACCGACAACAGTGCGGCATTTGTTTTCACAACAGGTACATGCCTACCCGCTGGGGAAGATAATCGAAACTCTGAATAATCAGTCGACGGTTCAATTTCCACTCTATCGTATTTGTATTGATTGTTTTTTCACTTGTTATTAATGAAAAAAAAAACACAACTTTTCGTTATTTTGTCTTCCGCTTTTCGAGACATCGTAATTGGTACGCTGTAAAAACGCTAATATCAGAACCGTTGACCGTGTAATCCGCGGCCGGATATTTCTCTCAATAACCTGTACAGAAATCGCCGCCGTCTTTATTCCGACTGCGTGTCGTTTGCACCGCACCCGAAACATTGTTAACCAGCCGATGTCCCGGCGTGTGTCTCGTATAGTACACACCGTAAACATTTAACACAAATAATGTGAACTGCGAATAAATAAAACTAAAAGACCAGAATTTATTTTGTTTTTGGTAGTTATTGACGATATAGGTACCTAATGAATATGATTCGATTAATTTCGAAATTTATTTTATTATTACGGGTACATAGATTTTCAATATTTGTGTTCGTATAAATTGTAATTTAAAGCGTGTACAAAAGTCAATAATTTACTATTAGATACCTACTTTTTAAGTTGTACATTTATAACAACATGAACGTTCTACTATCCGGCAAATAACAACCGTAATTGTATAAGTTCATGAAAAAGAGATTAGATAGGAGTTCCGGCAGGGGGTGTCCCCTACAGCAACGTACGGAAATTATCGAAATTAACATTTGTACGGTTTAATTTTGTTTTCGATATAATTTCACCGGAATGTGAAAACTGAAGTGTAAAATATTTGTATCGTATCGTTTTATTATGTTTCTTGCGCGCTCTTGTGGAAATTGTATCAAGTTATAGGCTAAACACTTGTACCAGGAATCGCTTTTCTAAACACAATAATAATATAACATGCCGACGATAATAACGTTCACTTTTGTTCACTTTTCTGTTGAAAAATGCATCAAATTATTATTGAACGTGTCCCGGGCGACAATAACCGTTTACCTGAGATATAACATTGTGCGTTCTGTGTGCGGCGGACACAGAGCTATCGAGCGACGGTGGCTCGATCATGTGGTTAGATAAAACGACCGAACGAATGTCAACAATAACAATAACAATAATTGTGTCTCAAATTTTATAGTTACGTGCATGTACCATATTGTATTATACGGTTGAAAAAACTAATGCAAGTATTTACACGGACACGTGAAATTTTCGGAAAAAAAAAAAAAAACAAAAATAACGACTAATATTTAATTAACTACACGTGCAATGGACTATATGGTACGGAGTGTGACAGCGTAGTACAGTACCTGTAGAATTAATTAGTGTTTAATGTCGTTTCGTTATTCGGTTTTCATCCGCGGAATCCGGCGGCATGCAGTTTTTGTTTTTCGTGTAAAGCGGTTCCGGCGAAATACGATTTGCGGACTACCCCCGGCACAATCCACAATACCGGAGCCGTGTCGGAGCCGTAGGCTGTTTTACGTCTCTGTACTTGGCTCTCTTCGTTCGCGCGTCTGTCCGATGACAAATCGCCGCGCACATGCGTCCGCCCGACTGTCATTCACATACGAGGCAGCTGCTTCGTAGGGGGCGCCCTGTGCCCACGCCCGGCCACCGACGGGTAATCGACGATGACGATTGATTATTTCGCTGTAGCTCTTTTACACGTGCAAATAACTGTACGTACCCGTTTCGGCCGCGTACACGCGTTCCGCCGCAACAGAACGTAAGCAACGAGCATCGGGTGGAATGAAGTGTGCGAAAACAATATCGGCAGTGTAAGCCATGACCGGCAGCCCGCACGAACGAGCCACCGGGAAGACGGCCGGTTACAAATATTTTGGGCGTGGTACAAAGCGCGTTCTGAATGAAAACGGCGATTTCTTCCGCGCGGGTTGTCAAGAGAAATATCCGACCGCGCGTCGCGCGCTCGATTTTCCTGGTGTTAGCGATTGCGTAGCGTACCCATTCGCGATGTCTCGAAAAACCGAAAACTCGATACCGCTATCATCGCTGAATGGGTAAAAAAAAAAAACATTTATAAAAAAAAAAAACTAACGTGTGGGGATCGAATTGGAATTTTGCCCCGTCGTGCGCCCGACGTCGACAAATTCGACCGACCTTAGTTACCAAAACGATGCGAATGCCTAACAATAACGAAATTAAATACATTTGACATAGATTTATTTCCGTTTTGTATGTAAAGTTACGGACAATTTTCGCAATGAATATTCTGACACTCCGTGTGCAAAAGAGTGCAAAATTATACATAGTGGTAACCGAGGTAGACGGGTATCTAACGCGGGTGAAATTTGGCCGTTACGCTTTGTCAAAATATGTTCCGAATCATGCCAGTCGGTATTTCGGAAGTAATTAGCAAACATTTGTAAGTTAATAACAAACGTCATCACTTCGGTACCAACAATAATACTAGCTCTCAGAGAACTTCCGTTCCGTTAGGTTAGTATTCGTTTATTTGTTTATTTTTTTGTACGGTGATATATATTCTATAGTTAGGTGGTGGCTCGCTCGTGTGATCGGACAGATAACAACAGACGAACAAAACGGAACTCAACAATGTTGTGCGACTGTATCAACTGTTTCGTGGTTGTAGAATGTAGATGCATTTACATCAATATAACGAATACTCATAGCGGTTGGATCAGATAGGTATTGTGTGCAATTGAACGTACGCATAACAATTTTCGAAAAAACCATACTATTATAGTAATATTCGATTGACCAGCGGTTTGCGGGCGGACTTGTGTATTGTTTAGTTTTGTATACACCTTGTTATTAAATAACTGTGGTACTTATATCAATAATATCGAAATAATTATGAAAATCAAATCAAAAACCATTTTGAGTGGATTTTTTGAGACTTTAAATGCATATTTTATTGCATGGTATTCGTGGCGCACTCGTGTGGTCGTATCTTTCACAACTTAAATCGTAATCGTTTCAATTCTCGTATAGGTACAACATAAAATTATAATAATATGTTTAATTGTCTTGTTATTTTTTTTCGTTAGTTTAGTTTTTCAGTACGGTAAAAATCGAAACGAATTTACATTATTTATGAATATTGTCATAATTTTAGATTCTGATTGTAGCGAACAATGTATTGGTTTTACAAAGATGTTTTTTTTTTTTTTTGTACAAAAATTCTACCAGAAATCTTGCTCCGAAATTTCATGCTATGGCACTTATTTTAAAAGGAAATTTTCCCGAAGTAATACTTTAAGTAGATTATCATTTAATTTTCTCAGGGGTTTTCATAATAAAAGGGAAACAAATAGGATAACAATTTACGAAAATATAATTATGCTTTGATTATTTTCAATTTGGATATTTTATTGTTATTTAATGAAAAATATTCATAAAGACATGAAATTTGGATAGAAACCTTATATTTGCCTTTAATAAACGCGGTAAAATGTTCAAAATATTTGAGCAATTTTAAGCTATTAGACATTTTAATTTTGAGTCTGTTTACGTAACATTTATTTGGTAGGTACTCTGTGGATAAAATTGTTAGACTAAACAGAAATGCTTGACAATTTAACAAGAAGTTTATTTTAAATTGTGCTTAGCGGTCAACGAGAAAAAGTTGAGTTTAATGTAATATATTCTGTTTTTTTTTTTTAAGAATTTTAGTATCAAATTTTGACGAAAATCGTACATATTACAGTCTTTTGAACATGTATAACCGAACTCCGCTCAGAATCGTATTTTGTTAGCAAATATTAATCGTTGCGTACACATATACGATGTACATTAAATTCCTCTCTATATCCTACCTTCCCAACTTCTCACCTACAATAGTTTCCCACCCATCGTGCGAAATATATGTCTGTCTCTTTTAGATCCAAGCTTATAGCCTATGATAGGTAAGCAGGTATTTAATTAACACTGATCAGTGATCACTGACACTAGTTGCGAAACTAAGAGATCATTTATTATTTCAAACGTAAAAATAATAAAAATATAAAACAAAATAATTATTAAAATCTATTGTATTTAAATAGGTATTAATTCTTATTTTTTCAAAAACCTTAAAAAATGACATTTTTCCAGAAGTAAATGTATGTACCTACATAAAAATATTATTTGGTTTATTATAGTGTTGATGTTCTATGGTTATTCGATTTTTATTGGTACACAGCGGCGGTGTGAAATTAGTTTTCGTAAACTGTTTAATAGTTCCAGTTGAATAAAATTACAAACAAATTTATATGTAAAAAATTCCAAAATTCCGGGTGAATCAGAACTTTAAATAAAGATGTTTATTTCTATATTTAGTCTTTTTCGTTAACATATCTTGATGGTAAATTACTACAAACATACACTCAACTAATTCGTCCATGAAGCGTTTGCTTCGTAGAATAACTATTCACGCATCCACTGATAGGTAGGATATAATTAATTATTAATTATTCCAGTACTTTTTTTTTTGTTTTATAAATCAGTAAACCATTTTGATCGTGTTTACGTACATGGTTACTGGTGGCTCGCTCTTGTGTTTAATTTTCTCAGAAATCAAATCATGAAAATATGTTATGTTCATAAATCTAACACATTATTCGTACCTAGATATATCTTCTAACATACAAGTTAACAATAATTAACATAATTAAATATTATTTAACAATAATAATTGTAAAATATAAGCATTGATTTTATAATATTATAGTATTACAGTATATTATACAATCAATGATATAAGTTATTTCGATCAAGAATTCGTACAAATCAAATTACTAGAAGATAATTTCTTAGGAACTTACCTACGTTATTAAAATATATAGTAAATATTTTAATTCATAAAAAATCAATTTTAATTCAAAAAAGTAACTTTTATCTAATTTTTTTATGTAACTTTTTTATTTTTATAGTGCAACTTATTAAGAAATTTTTACGTATATCTTGGTGCAATTATATAATTTTAATATGAAATTTTTTTATTTTTTCAATGCAATTAAATCCGCTCTTTAGTTATAACATAGGAAATAGGTATTAGTTGGGTATAATATGAATACAATGAAAACATTTTAATACTAAGCTGGAGCAGAATGATCCAATACAACATAAATCTTTTCTACATGACATTGATAAATGGTCTAGTTGAATTGACTAAAATACAATAAAAATTGAATATAAATTATTATTTAATACTTATGTGTATTTATAATTAACAAAAATAATTTAAAAACCTTCACAAAAATGTATTTCATTTTTTTATGAATCTGTCGTTAAATTCTTTCAGAAACTTTCAGAAATACTAAGTACCTACCTAGTCTTTAATAATAAATTATGGTAAATCTTGCATTTTGAATGTAATTTGTAGGTATGTACTTTTTTTCAATTCGATATCATATTTTGTCTTTGATTTTTTTTTTATACTTTTGTATAAAATATTAATAATATTATACATTTTTTTTTATATAAAATCTATGATTACAATCAAATTAAAAACTTGTATGAAAATGAAAATATATTTATCCTTTTTATTTTATCATGAGTTTATCAACAACTATCTTTTATCAATATCGCTACAATCATTATTAAAAAAAAAACAAAAACATTATTTGTGTTAAGAATTTATCATTTTTCATTTTTCATCCATTTGTGTAAAATTTTTCTAAGTAAGCTATTTATCATATTAGTATTATACTACATACACTCATTACCTATTACAATATGAACGTTTTAAATGTTTCGTCTTTGTTTTAGTCGTGGTCATAGATAATATAGATTTGATTGTCCATCAGCCTTCACAAATGATCCAATATATTCATATATATTTAGTATAACATAAATAATTCAATTTTTTATTTATTAATTAATTTTAAAATTATTGTAGGTTGATAATACGAGTGTGTAATGGCTGATCTGGCGTCTACCCACTTCTTGATGGCAGGTGACTTCACAAATTTTGCAGATTGGAGGTTCATTCATAGAGCATACTTGAATCTGGTGCTGCTGAATGGTGCTGGAGAGACAGTGGCTGCAGGTGCCGTTGATGTGGGTATACAACATAAAGCCTTTCCTACTCTTTTTTAAAAACCAAAATGTCTAGTTTTCCAAAAAAAAAATGTATAACAATATTACTGTTGATTATATTATTCCTAAGATCATATACTATGGATGGAGCCATAGTATATAAATTAATATAAAAAATGTCTCTGAATTTTATGCTTGATGTGCGCATAATTCTATGATGCTATGATTCTATACAACTCGACTGCAAAATAATTTGCTGTGACTACATCCATAGTATATATATATTGAAGCATTATTCATGATTCATAACCACCACCTCTGCTGTTAAAATATTATTCAAACTTATTATACTAAAATATTGATACAAAAATGTACAAAATTAATGTTCAATTAAAAAAAATAGTATAAGTTCTATAAGTTTTTAAAAGTTAAAATTCAGTTAACCAATTCTGTACCCTAATTCAAGATACTTTTATAAAAAAAAAAAATATGTAAGCCTTGTGTCATTTGGATAGAATAATATTAATACTAATATGCATATTATAAGTTAGTTACTCTAAATTTTGACTCTCATACTGCAGTTATTTTTTTTCTACCAACAACTTATTCTTGCTTTGGTTTATCTTCCTCACATTATAGAGAATTCTTTTTAAATTTCTTATTTGATCTAGTTAATGAAGTAGTTGAAGAGTTCTTAAATATGTCCCAGTTTTTAAATTATAATTTATATATTATGATTAATAAATAATTTCACAACAAACAGTAATATATTGAAATAGATTATATAGAATGCTATGTAGTTTGTGGGTCAGTGCAAATATTTAATACTACAAAAACTAATTTTATTTTCTTTGGTTATAAACCAATTTTTTTTGAATAAACAAATAGAATATATGTAGTAGGATCAATAAGTTCCCGGAATTTCATTTTATTTTTTTATATATACAATTTAAATATAAATCTACTTAATCTCCTTCAAAATATCGTCTTTCAGCACAGACACACTCACTCCAACGAATTTGTAACTGCTGGAAACATCTTTGGTATTCCTCTATTGGAATGGCCCTGCGATTCGCTATCGCGTTAATTTTAATGTCTTCAATCGAACAACGTTCACCTTTGAGTCCAAGTTTTAGGTTTGGAAACAGCCAGAAGTCACATGGAACAATTTCTGGTGAATATGGGGGTTGTGGAATTGTAGACATTTTTTTATCCATTCAAAATTGCCAAACTGCTAAAGACAAGTGACACAGTGCATTGTCATGATGCAAAAACCAACCATTTTCCCATTTACGTTGCCTTTTTCGCCAAATTGAATCTCTTAAACACTTTAAAACTTCAATATAAAAACTTGAGTTGACTGTTTGTGCATTAGGTACAAATTTCCAGTGAACTAACCCTTCATTGTCGAAGAAAATTGTCAACATGACATTCAATTGTGATTTGTCAACAAGTGATTTTTTTGGCCTCAGTGTGTGCCATTCTGATGACTGCAATTTTGTCTCTGGGTTATAAGCGAAAACCCAAGTTTCATCTCCTGTAACGATTTTCGACAAAAAATCTTTTTCATTCATGGAACGTTTGAAAAGTTCAGCGGCAATCAATTTTCTGTTTTATATTTGGTCTTCGGTCAAAATGCGTGGAACAAATTAAGCATAAACGCGCTGCATTTTTAAATCATCTTTCAAAATGTTTTGAACTGAACCATACGATATTCCTAATACATTTGCCACATCTTGACTTCGTAAACGACCATCTGATTGCACCAAATTTTTAACTTTTTCGATTGTTTCATCATTGTTTGAAGTTGACAGCCGGTCACTCCACTCTTCGTCTTCAAGTGACTCTTGAATATTTTTGAACCGTTTAAACCAATCATAAACGGCTGTTTTCATTAATGTTTCATCACCATAAACTGTTTTCAAACATTCAAGCATTTCTGCAGCAGTTTTTCCAAGTTTAAAACAAAATTTAATGTTAGCGCGTTGTTCAAATTGTGACATTTTGAAAAAATACGTAAACTCAGTTTCATAAGGCTCACATGAGACTATTGTAATTTTAACGAATAAACCTACTGATAGCTAATAATGTTTTCTTTTAATTTCAATAATTAGATATTTGATAACGAAAATAGTTTTTTTTCTATAAATAAATTCTGGGAACTTTTTGATCCCCCTATGTATATTAGTAGCCTGTAAATTAAGTTTCATTTTCAAAAAAATAGCATAGGTCATGATTTGAAAAATATTGTTATAGAACAATGTATACATAGTTTACATTCAAAGAAGAATGATCAAATTAATATTACAAGTGTTACTTTATACAATTTCAATAATTTACTGTTATAAACATTAAATATGCTTTATCTGATTTATAGCAAAAAAGGTAGGTAATTGAAATTTGACTTATACTTCAATACAACTTACTTAACATAGACAGATTTAACTACAGAGTTATTATTCAATACAATCTATACTCAATAATATTAATAAATCATTTTACAATAATATAGCATATTACAGATATTGGAAATAGATATTTAAAGTGTGTTTTATAATTATTACATTTAAATATATCTTTTTTTCATTTGTACATTTAAGAAATATATGTGTTTTCAATTAATGAGAGGTTTTTTTTATTAAATTCGTGTTTGATTTAATCTATTTTCACACTTATTTAAAATTAGTTTTCCTAAACTGGAGTTTAAATGGAGTACTAATTTCTATTTTGAATATTATCCTGAAAAAATACAATATAAAATAAAATAAATAGATGCACATGAAGGAAATAGCATTTGTACATAATAGGTACAATACCTCAATAGCCCACCAAAACCCGATAATTTATACATAATTTAAAATATTGAACAGTGTCTATTAATAATTAAAATACCATTGTCTGATAAACCATTAAAACTGTAATATTATCAATATGAAAACATCAATGTTGTCAGCCTGATAAATGACTGTAGAAATATAATACTATGACTTAAGTTAAAAATTAGGGATAGCTATAACTTGAGTTGGAGTGAGCACACATTTTTATTTTTATATATTTTAAAATCACTAATTAAGTACTAAAATTTGGTGATATATTGAGAAATAATGCTTTTAAATTGCCTGTTAACTTTACGGTCCAGTGGTAAAACTGTAATGTTTGAGCCATATATTGTTATTTATATACATTTTAATTTTGTGAGTAATTTTTATTTGGTAGGTACTCTTTGGATAAATGTTAGAACAGAACTGCTTGAAAGTTAATCAGGATCTTAATATTATAAGTTATACTTTGTATTCAAAACAAAAACCAATTGAATTTAATGTAGTATATTTTTTTTATAAGAATTTTAATATCAAATTTTAATCAAGTTTTGGTAAAAAAATATGTGGAACAACTCTAGTTACTGGTCCATACAAATTGTTTCAACATATATTTACTTTACTATAATATGACATATATATTGTTGAAAAAGCAATACTATTAACTGAGCTCTGCTCAGAATCGTTTTTTGTTAGCAAGTTTTGGTTACAGATATACATTAATTTTCCCTCTTCATACTACCTTTCAACTTTTCTCATTTTTTCATCTTCAACAGTAGTCCACTCATCCTGTGAAGTATGTCCATCTTTTTTTATGACTATGATCATTATATAATAGTAGAGACCATAATACATTTTATAAAATAAGTAGTACATAGTCGTACATTGTAATAACAATTGCAAGATTGATATACTTTCGGTAGCTAAATAAATTTAAGTTAAGTAGTATCACAAGAAAGTTTATTATAATATTATATTTATATTTTTTAAATTATGCAATATTTTTAACATAGGTTTTCATCTAGCTATATTGGTATTTTCATTTAAAATTAGTTCTCTTGAAATTTCAAATATTAATTACCAGATTGGATTTTTTACCCCTAAATTTAAGGATATTATTTCTTATTTGAGTAATTCTTAGTGAACCATTAATGTAGCGGTATTTTTTTAGAATACTTCCACAGTCAAAATATCGTTCCATTGTTCATGTATGCATTTATGACTAAATGGTGTTATACACACATATTCAAGTCATATATTTTATTTAATAAAATTATTTTATAGAGTTTCTAATTAACTAAAACTTACCAATTGCTATTGTAATATTAACAAGAACTAGAACACATATTAGAACCTCTCTCAGCACTGTAACATAGTCTTTAACTGTAAGCTATACACAGGTTTTACTTCTTTTCTCTGTACTTTTCTACATTGTCTTACACAAAACATTGGTTTCATTGTCGATCTTTCTGGTATAAAACAAAACAAGTTCTTAGATATTGATACCTTCTAATTCTAATTTCTATAATTTTTCCCCATATCTTCATACTATGACTCATCAATTGTATTCTATAATTTTCACACTATTGTACATCTCCCTTTACTTTTAAATAGGTATTACAAAATTCTTATTTTACTCATCTGGAATTTACTCTTTTACTAACACCTTATTGAAAAAAATCTTTTAACCAGCCTATGCATAGTTCTGTTAACATAAGATAGTTTATAAATGTCATATGCTATGTACAGGCTATACGTATATTTTAGATTCTGAGGGAAGCAAAGAAGCTTATGGTTTTACTAAGATGTTTATTTTATTACTTTTTTTACATCTTTACAAAACTTGTTCCGATTTTTAAGTTTAGCACCTTTACTGAAAGAAAATCGGTATGGGGAGGTACTTTAAGCAAGTCATTTTTTTGATTTTTTCAAGAGTTTTCTCATTAAATGTGAAAAGCCAAAAAAAACGGGAATATGTAAGAAATATCTTTATAAAATATTACGATTTTTTTTCCTGTGGACAACTTTTCTACCAGCAATTTAGTTTTAAATTTTAATGATATTAATTTTTTTAAAAGGAAATTTCATTGGGGAGGTACTTTAAAGAGGTTGTTTTTGATTTTCTTGAAAGTTTTCTCAGCAAATCTTAAAGACGGGATAAATTATGGGAAAACAAGGAAAAACGTTGGAAAACTGGGATAATCGGTACAAAATTAAACAAATGTTATTTAAGAACATACATATATAAAGCCTATTTAATTATTTTATTTAAAATGACATATATTTTTGACAAACCATCAGTATCAACTGAACTCTGTTCAGAATCGTTTTTCGTAAGTAATAGTTTATCGTTACTTACAGGTATATATATATTATCTATAACAGCGGCTGTACCCATTCTCATTATCCTAGGACCTATTTTTTTTAAATTTATTTTGATATACATGTGTATTTTTACTATTTTTACAGAGTATTTCTACATAAAAGGCCAATGTCACATCACAGATTGACAACATCACGTCCAATCGTCATCCATTTATACTCAAACATTAAAATCCAGAAACGCCAAGGAAATTTTACCTACACAACGTGATAAATTTGCTCACTACTCTGAGTTTAAAAAAATACATTGTGGTTATACATATATAAATATATAATATATAATATTTAATCATATCTACAATAATAATAAGATTGTTTATTCAGCCCCTTTTTTCTTATTACTTTAATGTACTCTATAACTAATACAAATTATTTGGCGTCATCTGGGAAAAAGCAGGGAAGAAGTTTGCTCCTCCTTGTCATAAGAGGGCTGGGTATGGGATGGTGTCAGCTAGTTTGGGCCGCAAGCCTGCCATGATTCATGTCATTATATTTTATGATTTATGTTGCATACAGCCATTTTGAGATACAGTTTTTTAAAATTTGTTTGTGATAATAATTGTGATAAGTATGATAATTTTATACCATGAATGTACATAACGGAGATCACATTTTATTAAAATCCAATAGTCTAATGTAATAGATATGTCAATTCTAGTATATTTATTTTTCTCATTGCTTTACAATGATCTATTAAAAAACGATCTTTGTTTAAAAACCAATAGTGCACCATCTATTATATTAATATTAATACCGCTGCAGAAAATAATATTTTTAGTAATTAGGTTTTGTTTAAGATGATTTCTAAACTAGTTGAGAATGAATCAATATTATTATTTGGGACCTAATTAAATCTATACATTTTATAAATTCATATTCGAAAATTTTACTAAATCAATTTCTAATTGCAACTCAATTGAGTTACCATATAAAATATAATTTTTACAATAATAAAATAATAAAGTAATACAAAATTATTAAAATGGTTAATATTCATAATTAAATAAAGTAAATAAATATATAAATAAAAAATGTATCAATAAAAAAAAAAATAATAATAAATGAATCAGTGGCCTGTAGTATTATGATAAGTGTATTATACAACCTGATGATGATTTAAATATTCATCATCAGGTATATCACAGCCAAATTTAAAACAGACTGAATATACAAAAATGAAGGATACATAGGAAAAAAATTATAAAAATTGGTCGTTTTACATATATTATAAAAGTAATTTATTTTAATAGGAGAGATTATTTAAAATTAGTAAATTATTTGGTTATTATTTATTATCTAAAATTAATTGATATAACATATTATTTTTAAAATCGGTTTGAAAATTTAAAATATTATTAAAATTATTTTCTTTATTTCATTGTGTATATATAATTCTACTAAAACTGAATTAATGTAAATTTTATATTGGGTGCTTAATATTTTAAGGTCTGTTATTGTATCAAAACTTATATTATGGTTATTTTTTAAAACATGTTTACCGAAATTTAAATTAGGGGCAGTCTTTTTAAATTTTATTTCAGAAATGTGTTCTTATTTTAAAAATTCTATTTGTCTTACCTATATGAAATATATTAGAGTTACATTTAGTTTATATATGTCAGTATTTTTAAAAGAAAAATAATTATTTGTGAAGTTTTTAGTTCTACTGTTTATATGTTTGATTAAATTATTATTTGTCTTAAAAGTGATAATTATATTACTTGTATTATTATTTAGAATTTTAGCGAATTCATTAGACATATTATTAAAAAATAGTATTTAAATTGAAATTATTTCTATGGGCTATATTATAAATAATATTGAGCTTATGTTGATAATTATACTAAAATTCTGTACAATAATACAAATAATGTAAAAATCCCTTTTAAGATTAATAATAATTTAATCAAACATATAAACAATAGAACTAAAAACTTCACAAAAATCCCCCTACTTTTGAAAATTCTGATATATATAAACTTAAATGTAACTGCAATAAATTTTATGTAGTTAAGATAAATAGAAATATTTAGGGTAGGTCCTACTTATATTTAATAAAAATTGTTAGTTTTGTAATTATATTTACATTTTACTGTTATACCTTGTACCTATATTGCATATTATTATAATACCTATCACAGATTATATATAATTTTCATATAATTTCATATACAGTTTCAAATATAGTGTCATAGAATCTGTGATAATACTTTTATTCAGGTTTTCACTGTTTAATAGATATTAACATGTTTAAACAACTACAAGCACTAGTGATTCAGGACTCAACTATAGTTTCAGATAGTTCACCAGTTATTATAAAGTACTATTTAATACAGTCTACTGTTTAACTTGTATATCTTAAGCTGTGGCACTGCCAAAATATTTTAAATGATTTGTTATCCATTTTGATAAATGATAAGTGATTTTATTCGAAATTCGAAATATATTTATATATTTATGTACTCTTTAATCAAGAAGACAGCGAAGCATCATCCAGATTTGTTATTTTATTGTAAACATCTTGGTGTTGGTAAATGTAGTACATTTAATATTATTTAATATTATTATTACATAGTAATATTATGTGCAAAATTATGCCATAGATGGTTCTTTTCATTTTTTGGGGTCACAATAGGTATATAAATATCCTGTATTTATATATATATATATATATTTATGTAAAAAAAAAAAAATGGTTGAACTTTTAAATCCACCAGATTGTCAGTAAATTACACTACCGAGTTAAGTTTAAAAATAATATAATACATATGTTTTTATTACAAATTTAAAAATCCTAATTTTATATTGAATTGTAAGTTTTTCAAAATAAATAATTAAAATGTTTGATGTGAAACTTCTATACAGAGGGTATGAAAAAAAAATCAATCGTGATAGAAGACATCACAATCGGCCGACACGATTGGTCCCTTTCGTTGTCAGCTGTTAACACACTCACAAACCGTTAGAGACAGTTGAATAACCATTGTTATAGAAACCGATACGCGATCGTTCGCCGAGTCGACGTCGACCGTCGTCGCCGCCCCACCTAACACCCCTCTGCGTCCCACTCGTACTACCGGCGCCATTGTTGTTCATGTCAAGCGTCTGCGCGTTTGTTCTCCCTGTATTATAGCATTCCGTCTATGAGATCGACGATTACTACGCCCGTCGGAGTTTTTTCTGTTGTTTTGTGCTGTACCCCGAGTTTTCCTGCCTCGTTTGTTTTGTTCGTTCGCGAACGTCTGTCCACTCATCTCCGTTGCGATTGTCTTGTTTGTCCAGCCACCGAAGGAAACCGTAAATGATCTTTTAATATTGCCCGTACCTAACGTTCCGGTTTTACGTGTGCATCGCCATCAACATTTGGACTCGTTGGGTTGGAACACCGCCGCCATCTTTATCACCATTTTAGCAGTCATACACACGGTCGTATAAATTATTGTTTTGTATTTATGTTATTACTTTGTTGCTTTGTACCGGGAAGACGTTCCCGTCGCGACCTTTCACTTTCTTTATATTTTTAAATTTAATTAGATACTCGCAGTTTAATGTACACTAAAATATAGGGAAAATATGCCATCTTATAGTTACAAACGAATGCGTTACTATTTTTATTTATAAATATTATTGTTACCTCGTACCACATTAACGTATACCTAACTCGGCGTAAATCACCGGGTCAACCGCCAGTAAGCAGGAGCCCGGCGGCGCAACATTGGTAGCAGAGCGTGGTTTATACATAATCAGTAGCGTCTTAGTAGGTAATTAAATTTAACGATATTACAATATAAGTTAGTAAGATTACTAATTTTTTTTTTATTTTAAAATTGGTTTACGTTGTTCTGTTAGTTGCACTGATTCCGTATTTATTCAATTCATCTCTAATTTCTACAAATACCTAAGTCGTTGTGTTATTTTTTTATTGGAGTTAAATTATTGATCTAGATTCACAATTTTCCCTTGTTGTTGTTACAATGTCGGAAAATAAGAATACTGAGGAATGGGGATGTTTGGAGCTGGCCAAGAAAAATGCTGGCCTTGAACGCGACGATATAGAATCTCGTATTCGTGCGATTCACTCGTTATCGTTGCGCGTTCTCTCCGACTCTGCGGAAATTTCACGATTCTTAGTTGCTGCTGAAAGTCTAGATCGTCTAGAAGCGCAATTTAAGGCAAAAAACGACTTTATCATAAATTGTTTAGTCGCATTGGATGAGAAAGAAGATTATTCTCGGGAACTGGTCACAGAGATTAGTGAGCTGATTAATGCCTCCAAGGCGGTAGCTAAAACGTTATTCAAACCGATTTCCGGAACGCCAAACGCTGAACATCTAAACGTTACCCAGCCGTCTTGTTCATGGAAGATTCCGCTACCATCGTATGGAGGAGACTTGTCAGGATGGCCCGTTTTTCGTGATCGTTACGTTTCACTTGTTGTCAATCGCCTAGATCTATCTAACACCGAACGTTATTATAACCTTATCGATTGCCTTACCGGTGAGGCATTTGATGCTATAAAGAACATTCCCATTTCTGAGGCTACTTACGAACTCGCTTGGTCAATTTTAGTCGAGCGTTTTGATAAACCACTACAATTAGCGACAATAATCGTTGATAAACTTATGTCCGCGCCTATGCATTCCCAGGAGTCACTGGACGGACTAAAAGATTTCCTAGTTCTGTTTTCGGATCAGGTTTCCGTACTAAAATCGCTAAACATTCCGTCTCTTTCAGAATTTTTGTTGTTTGCTATATCCTTGCGCTGTTTACCGTTGACTACGCGCAAAGCCTTTGAGGCAGTTAACAAAAACAAATTTCCTTCTATTGCGAATATTGTGTCGTACATCAAGGCCCGGGTAGCTTTTCTGGAAACCGCAGATTCTTCTAGTATTTCGAAATGTCCCATCCCGGCAAGCGATAAATCGAAACCTGTGTTCGTTACAATGTTGGAAAATAAGAATACTGAGGAAAATGAATGGTTGAAGCTGGTCAAGAAAAATGCTGGCCTTAAACGCGACGATATAGAATCTCGTATTCGTGCGATTCACTCGTTATCGTTGCGCGTTCTCTCCGACACTGCGGAAATTTCACGATTCTTAGTTGCTGTTGAAAGTCTAGATCGTCTAGAAGCGCAATTTAAGGCACAAAACGACCTTATCATAGATTGTTTAGTCGCATTGGATGAGAAAGAAGGTTATTCTCGGGAACTGGTCACAGAGATTAGTGAGCTGATTGATGCCTCCAAGGCGGTAGCTAAAACGTTATTCAAACCGATTTCCGGAACGCCAAACGCTGAACATCTAGACGTCACCCAGCCGTCTTGTTCATGGAAGATTCCGCTACCATCGTATGGAGGAGACTTGTCAGGATGGCCCGTTTTTCGTGATCGTTACGTTTCACTTGTTGTCAATCGCCTAGATCTATCTAACACCGAACGTTATTATAACCTTATCGGTTGCCTTACCGGTGAGGCATTTGATGCTATAAAGAACATTCCCGTTTCGGAGGCTGCTTACGAACTCGCTTGGTCAATTTTAGTCGAGCGTTTTGATAAACCACTACAATTAGCGACAATAATCGTTGATAAACTTATGTCCGCGCCTATGCATTCCCAGGAGTCACTGGACGGACTAAAAGATTTCCTAGTTCTGTTTTCGGATCAGGTTTCCGTACTAAAATCGCTAAACATTCCGTCTCTTTCAGAATTTTTGTTGTTTGCCATATTCTTGCGCTGTTTACCGTTGACTACGCGCAAAGCCTATGAGGCAGTTAACAAAAACGAATTTCCTTCTATTGCGAATATTGTGTCGTACATCAAGGCCCGGGTAGCTTTTCTGGAAGCCGCAGATTATTCTAGTATTTCGAAATGTCCGACCCTGGCAAGCGATCAATCGAAACCTGTGTCTCAGTTCGGCGCCAAAGCAATGAATGTATCATTAATATCAACCAAGTCTGTTTCCTCGGTCTCGCTCAAGCGTCTATTTTGCGAGGAAAACGATACGCCGATTAGTTGTCATAAGTTAACCAAATTTTCGTCAAATAAAAAATATAAAACTGCATGGAAGAACAATATCTGCTTCGCCAGGCTGTCGACCTCATCTGATTCTGTTATGGAAATTGCGTCTACATCGTCCGCACCAGCTTCATCTCTCAAAAATTTGACGAACACGACAACAGTTTTATTAGGAACTGTTCTAGTGCAAGTTCGGGACCGTTCTGGGAGAATGCGATCAGTCCGAGCTCTTTTGGATCCAGGGTCACAAATAAGTGCTTTGACAACGTCATGCGTGGTTCGCTTAGGGTTGAAACCAAAAAAGTGGACCGCCCCTTTGGTTGGGTTGTCCGGCGTCCTAATACCCACAGTGTCAGATGTTGTTGACTGTTTCGTAACATCTAGATATTCTAATGATTCATCCATTGACCTGCATGCCTGGGTTATGCCGAAGTTAACCGCGGATATGTCATCTCAAAATCTACCAACAAGTGTTAGGAGTAAGTTCTCCCACCTGGTGTTAGCAGATCCCTATTTTGATTGTTCCACCCCTATTGATATGCTGTTAGGAGCTGATGTAATCCCTAGCATTCTCAATGGAGAACATGTCCTGGTCGACGAATCTCTTCCGCCAGCTTACAAATCGATTTTTGGTTGGATTCTAATCGACATTGGAAAGGTCAAAGAACATCAATCGCTCCCCTCGATGTCATTGACAGTTTCTTTAGAAGGGTTAGTTCAGCGTTTCTGGCAGTTAGAGGAACCAGAAGATGCTCCTGTCACGTTTACGGATGACGATCAGTGCGAATCCATATATGTTAAAGAGCGTTGTAGGGACATCACTGGGCGATTTATGGTTCCCCTGCCGTTTATTCCACAGCGTCGTAGTGAGAAATTTCCAGAATCGCGTCATACTGCTATACGTCAATTCCAAAACTTAGAACGAAAGTTCCAAAATGACGAAAATTTATATACCGCGTATAAAAACTTCATGGAAGAGTACGAATCGCTTGGACACATGTCTGTCGCCACTGAACCCGGTTTGTATTTCATACCGCATCACCCAGGTTTTAAATATAATTGTTCTTCGAATAAAATTCGTGTTATATTTGATGCTTCCAATAAATTAGCATCCCAGATCTCTTTAAATCAATGTTTGTATGCCGGTCCAAAACTTCAATTAGATATAGTGGATATTCTGACTCGTTTCCGTATACACCAGTTTGTCTTTACCATAGATCTGTATAAAATGTACCGACAGATCCTCGTCCTTCCAGCATACTGCCGATACCAACATATCTTTTGGAGATCATCGCCCGCGGAGGAGCTGAAAGAGTATCAGCTCAACACGGTGACATATGGAGTTAATAGTGCCCCGTTCCTGGCTTTAAGAGTTCTGAAGGACATTGCTGAGTATGAATGTGAGAAGTTCCCCGCTGTTCGTGACAGTTTGTTGCAACAAACTAACGTTGATGACATTTGTATCGGTGCTGACAGTGAAGAAGAATTAATGGAGTTGAAATCTGATCTATGTGCAACCTTTATGCGTGCTGGCTTAGACTTAAAGATGTGTTCAAGTAACTCTCAATCTATGCTAGAAGCTGAACCATCTGAAGATCGTGCGTCTGAGAACATCAGCTTCAACGATGGTATTAGTGAAGTTGTTAAGATTTTAGAATTGCAATGGGATCCTTCCAGTGATATTTTTAAGTTCAATGTGCGTCCAATCCCTTCCGGTGCTACGAAGCGAGCAGTTTTTTCGACTGTTGCACGTATATTTGATCCCCTAGGTTTGTTGGCACCAATGATATTTTATGCCAAATTTATTATGCATCAAATCTGGAAAGCGAAACTCACGTGGGACGAACCGTTACCTCCGAAATTGAAGCAAAGTTGGGAAACATTTACGGCTGATTGGCCTGTGCTTTCTACTCTCAGGATATCCCGCCATGTCTCCACACAATTCCGATCTCGCGTTGAACTATGTGGATTTTGCGACGCTACCAAACACGGTTACGCTTCAGTGTTATATCTCCGTACGACGTCTCCAGATGGTGTAGCTTCTGTGTTTTTGCTCGGTGCCAAGACAAAGATGGTTTCTAAGAAAATTACGACCATCCCCAGACTTGAATTGTGTGCGGCAGTACTGCTTGCACGATGGATGGCACGGATGCTGAAAATCCTCAGTGGAAAGCTCGAGGTAACGAATATCTTCGCTTGGACAAGCTCTAAAATTGTTCTTTCGTGGTTGATGAATATGCACACTGTCTTCAACATTTTTGTCACCAATCGGATACACCAGGTGCGTCAACTTATTCCATCGTGCCATTGGTATTACGTACAGTCATCAGAAAATCCGGCGGATTGCGCCTCAAGAGGCATATTACCGTCAGAGCTAATAGTTCACCCGTTATATTGGACCGGCCCGACGTTTCTCAAAGGTGCTACTAAATCATGGGATGTGTCTGTTCCAACGTTTTCTGCGAAGCGACTTCCAGAAATTCAACTCATGTCGACGGATCAAGAGATGCTCGAGGTGGAATGGATCTCTCAATTTTCGTCGTATCGAAACATGATTAGGGTTGTCGCCTGGATCCGTAGATTTATAAGCCGCTGTCGGAAACAAACATACCCTCATAACTTTCTGTCTCGTGATGAGATTGATGAATCACTGAAGGTTATCGTTCTAGCCTCCCAACGTTATTGGTTTCCAGGATTTCCGGTGAAGCCGTCACGTGGTGATAACAGCAACTATCCATCAGCCAATATACACCCGTTTATTGACCATGAAAACATTATCCGGATCGGTAACAATTATCGAGTGTTTGATACGTTTGATCCGAAATTACACCCAATGATTTTGTCCAAGAATTCACATTTATCATTGCTGATAACTCGTCATTGGCATTGGGCTACGAGACATTCGGGACTTCGTGTAATCACCCCGCTGATCCAGAGCCAGTTCTGGATCACGTCATTGCGATCAGTAATTCGCAAAGTCATTGGCAAATGTATCACCTGCTTAAGAGCCATCGCTCTAAGTTTACAACCTGTCGATTTCCCTATTTTACGGGACTATGGGTGCCGCCCGTTCACACGAGTGGGAGTAGATTATGCCGGTCCGATGCTGATGCGTGAGCGTCGATTACGCGAGGTACTGCACTACAAGATTTACGTAGCTGTCTTCATTTGTATGACAACAAAGGCCGTTCACCTAGAGGTTGTGTCAGAACTATCTATGAACGCCTTTTTGTCGGCCTTTAGCCGTTTTGCTGACCGTCGGGGGTTTCCGTCAGACGTTTATTCTGACTGCGGGACCAATTTCAAAGGTGCCGCGAAACATCTATCTATCGTCATAAATGACCCGGCCAACCATAATACAATATCCTCGTATTTTTCGTGTCGGTGGCACTTTAACCCACCCGAGGCATCCCACTTTGGGGACCTTTGGGAAGCGGCAATTCATTCCTTTAAAAAGCTCCTCGTTCGAATTATTGGAGACCACAGACTCATGTCGGAAGAAATGACCACCATTCTGTGTAAGATCGAAGCCATTTTGAATTCAAGACCTTTAACGCCAATGACGACGTCCTCGCTAGATTTAAACTATCTCACACCCGGCCACTTTCTCTCCGCTGAAGAATCATTTCTGAACGAACGTGACGCGCTTGTTTCTGAAAATATACATGTATTAACTGATAAAGCGATAAACTATAAAGCGATAAACCGATTGAATCTACTAAATCATTGCCATCAATCTTTTTGGCGCCAATGGTCAACTGAATATCTGTTTTTACTTCAGACCCGAGCCAAGCGGAGAACTAATGCTTCCAGTATAAAAGTTGGAAACATGGTGGTGGTCAAAGACATCAAAACACCCCCGGCCTTGTGGTGCCTAGGTCGTATCGTGGAAGTCACTCCGGGTTCAGATGGTGTGGTACAAGGGGCTAAAATATTGACATCCAACGGTGTACTCACCCGTCCCATTGTTAAGTTAGTGTTGTTGCCCATGGAGTAACGTTCTGTTGTGATCTATATATATCTTATATCTTATATATCTTATATCAATATTCTCATGCTTTTTTAATGGATTCTTTTTATTATTTTAATTTTATCTTGGTTACAAGTCTCTTTTTTAATTGTATAAACACCTACTCTGCGCCATTCATCGACAGGGTCCGTTGTGTGTATATGAGAGGCTAGGGGGTTATTGAGATATAATATATATACATTTTTTTTTTCTTTTTCTCTCTATTTTTGTTCTTTATATTTAAGTTATTATAAGTAATGTAAGTTCTTTAGTTTAGTTGATATTGCTATTGTAAACGACCGTGCGTGTATTGATTTGCGTGTTCATGTAAAGGTCTAGCGTCATCATGCTGTCACGTCATCGTTATCGGGAGGAGTCGTTCTAGAAGTATCAAGGATGTGAGGCTAGATGACTGTAGCCTCTATAAAGGAGAATTCTGGAGACAGAGTTCAATAACCGTTGTTATATGAACCGATACGCGATCGTACGATGAGCTTATCTATAGTCGTCGACCGTCGTCGCCGACCTATCTAACACCTGTCGACTATTACTTCGCCCGTCGGAGTTTTTTCTGTTGTTTTGGACTGTACCCGAGTTTTCCTGCCTCGTTTGTTTTGTTCGTTCGCGAACGTCTGTCCACTCATCTCCGTTGCGATTGTCTTGTTTGTCCAGCCACCGAAGGAAACCGTAAATGATCTTTTAATATTGCCCGTACCTAACGTTCCGGTTTTACGTGTGCATCGCCATCAACATTTGGACTCGTTGGGTTGGAACATCGCCGCCATCTTTATCACCATTTTAGCAGTCATACACACGGTCGTATAAATTATTGTTTTGTATTTATGTTATTACTTTGTTGCTTTGTACCGGGAAGACGTTCCCGTCGCGACCTTTCACTTTCTTTATATTTTTAAATTTAATTAGATACTCGCAGTTTAATGTACACTAAAATATAGGGCAAATATGCCATCTTACAAACGAATGCGTAATTTTTTTTATTTAAAAATATTATTGTTACCTCGTACCACATTAACATATACCTAACTCGGCGTAAATCACCGGGCCAACCGCCAGTAAGTATGAGCCCGGCTGTGCAACACATACAATAGTGATACTGCAAGTGAATGCAATCAGATTAAAATCCAAGAATTCGGATTTTTGAACTATCTGAAATCCGGATTTTTTTTACCACTATCATACACTCACACACACTCATACACACGGGGCTGTTGTGGAAAGTATACGACCGTATACGTCTTATATATTCTGATCATTACCTATAAACACCGTATACCTTCTGGTTATGGTCATACACTCTCTATTATATTGAAATCCCAGAATATAATGTACAATTATTATAAGTGGGTATTATTATTTTTATTTTTGGTTGATTACGAAAACATAGAAAAAATATATCAGATATATATATATATATATATATATATATATATATATCCTAACGAAACGATGAAACGAAAATGTACTGTAGATTAGTAGATTATAGTATACTCTCTGCTTTTTTTACGACTACAGTACTGCATACACACAATGTAAAAAAAAGTGTCACGGCAATTTCAGTTTCATTATCATAAGCCCATTATATCTTTCGTGAAAATAGAATAAGAAAATGAATAATATCAATAATAAATTAAATTAATTTCAATTGGCTTTTACTTTATTCTAATACAAACCTAATATTCATTAGATCAATTGAATAACTCTTAAAGGAGTTTCACTTCATTCGTGCGTACTCATTACATGCACAGTTTTTTTTTTCGAAATATTATATTAGCTATTTGTTTCACAAAAATTTGTGACAAATTGTACAACAAAATTTAAGCTCTTATGCCTTCGTGACCATTTGTCATAAAATTATTAAATAGTAGAGAAATATGTTAAATTTTGTTTTATTTTTTTAAAATCATATTATTTTTACATCTATTGGACGATTATGTGGTAAAAGTGTAATTAACGACTCTTATGTCAAATTATGTACAATAATACAAATTTGTGATGAATACATTTATGGCTCATATCAGGGTCGTTGTGTAATATATGGTGGAGTTGGTTTATCAGATGTGTATTACTGTAAAGTATGCATAGTTCAAGAAAAAGATGTAAGTTCTGTAAAGATAAATATATAATATATACGATATAATCAAGTTGACATTTATAAATGTATAGTATTATTTGATTACAGAGGGATGAATTTGATTTTTGTTTATTAACAATTAATATGAGCTCTTAAAATAATTAAAATATTCAATTGATAGCTATTAAAAATTAACTCGTTCATTTGAATTACTTTTAAAATAAATCCTAGTAAATGATTTTTCAATAGAGCTTTGTATTTTAAATCCCAAAATTGTATTGTATGTATTTTATTTTTTATGTGCATTTTTATGTTAACAGCCGTTTCAAATTCTATTAATCCGTGTGAAAACCGACGATATCTAGGGAATAACCTCTATAGAAGAGCTATCTTAAAATTTTCTGAAATAATAAAATAAAGTTATTTTTTGAATTTTTTTTATAAAAAAAAAATTAATTCAAATATAAATATTTGTGGTCCTCATCCCTGTGAGTAATATATAAAAAAAAATAGGATTTGATTATCTTTATTATCTTCGGAGATATTCAAGGGGTATATTGTGGGACAGCTTGTATATGTAAAATTAAATATACATTTTGAAAAATAATTATTTTTAAGTAAAGTAATTTTGTTTCATGTAAAGAATTTTCTTTTTATAAATACTTTAATTTTATAAAAATATTTAGTAACATTTTGAAATCATTAGGTATTGCATCAGATGAATCATTTAAAATCTAAATAGGATTAAATATGATTAAAGAATAAAGTCTACAATTATAAATAAAAATTAAATAAAATCTATAATAAAAAATAAAAATCTGATATAAAATGTGTATGATTTATATCATTTTAATTGAAATGAGCCCAAATTAGTTTAATATATTTTAACATGTTTGGGTATAAATACTGTTACGAGTCATTCAGACACAACCTTAAGACGGGAAGATGAACAACTTAAAATAAGTCTACAAATAGTTTTTATTAAAATTTTGCAAAAACTCGATAAACAATTGATATTTATCAATATATGTAATAAATATATGTAGTACTGTTGTTACACCAGATCAGGCTCAAGATTTAGTTGTATTTATCAGCTGTAAGTACAGTTCAGAAATGACCGAATGAGTTGGCATCAAGGCGACGGCGCTTCTCCTTCTAGTGCCTCGGTGTTCGTGTAAACTCCTGAACTCCTACTGATCTTCTTTTGTGATTCTCCCGGTCATTTTATGTATGATTGTCGCCTTGGTTTCGTCATTTTCTGGAAAATGACGTTATTTTGGTTTATATCATCATTTACTGTAATATATATAATATATTATACATACACCTGCCTACTTAGTTTAAACATATTTTAACATAGATTACACTCACTTACACTTAAATACTAATGTCTTCTGTCAAAATTCTGATTTGTTTATATTTGTTTATGCCCATTGTACATACCATATCTTGTTATGTTGCAGGTGACAAAACGTAACCACATAATGTTTTATAATACATAATATATAAACATATTAGTATTTATAATTTTATAATTAATATTGCTATTTACTGAACAATTACCAATTTATACATTTATAAACTCATTTAAAATGTCAAAACTTTTATTCTTTAGGAACAAAAAAATTCATAATTACCTATATAAGTACAATTATATTTGTTCACATTTCAGTTTTATGCTGCTATAATATTTACTTTTCTATTATAACATGTATGTTATTACTGTTAACATTGAGTAATAATAAGATAAACAAACAACAAATTAATTCGTGCTACAAATATTTTATGTTTCAAATACAAGAATGTAGTATATAATACTATATTATTAATATTTTGCGTTATTTAATTTAATCTTTTAATCACACGGTTGTAAAATTATTATGCGAGTATAATATTACACTATTACATATATTATACCTTTAATTATTTTAAAATACATATCTCTATATCAGAGCTGTCTGACAAATTTTTAAACGTTAACTTTTTCAGCATCACTTGTCAGTTAAGAGAAATACATTTTGAGATTATAGAAAAGCCTTTTATTAAACATTGAAAAGGTGGTCTTTTTTTAAATTATGGGTTGGCTGCATTTCTTCAAAAATTTATTCAAAAACAGTGTAGTTAACTAAAACAAAATTAAACAACTTATTATTAAAAAAAAAGGATAATTCTTTGATAATACATTTAGACTGATTTATACAAACGGCCCGCCGCCGGCCGCGTAAACCTTTGCTTGGCCACATCCGGTCATCAGTCGCTTCTGCTACTTCGCCGCGGTGATCATGCGCCCGGCCGTTAGCCGACAGTCGTGTGTGTCCACAGGAACCCGGTAACCATTTGCGGACGCGGTATTTTATTAATTAAAATTGACGACATATCATTGTTGTTCAGCTTTTAAGCTTCGTCTTTGCGCATTATATACGCACCACCGCCGCAATGCGAATCGGCCTTACCGTTGGCCTACTCCGGTGACTATTTCGAGACCAGATAACGCCGCCGTAGCTGTTGCCGCTCGGACCTCCACCATCACCATACCGACGCTGATAACGAGAACTGCGGTAATACTTATAGCTAATTAAAATAATAAGGGTCAAAAGCACCTACATGTTATAAATATTCTGTATTCTTTTCGATCGTGTATTTAATATGAATTGTTCATTGTTGTAAAATCCTTTTTTTTATTCATTTTCTCTCGACCTTATCATTTATCCTACTACCCGATCACCAAGTTTAATGTAGCGTACGGTAACCATTCCATATCGGTAGTGGGACAAATGCCCGTTAAGATCCATCTGCAAAGCATAAGCATAAGCATCTGCGAAAATGCCATCAGAGTTGAAATTTCCACCCTCACCCTAGTTTTCTAAATTCCGTAGCTACTAGATGATTAAAGGCCTATTCACACATGTCTGCTCGGTATCCATACCGTCCGACTCCGTTTGTTTTAAACTATGTTTTGCCGGACGGCACTGATACAGAGACGTCTTGTTGGAATATATAAAAACATTACTTACAATGATTTAATGCAAATCAAAATAAGAAGTCAATAAAAATGTTGTAACACATTACCAGCATTAATAAGTATACGGGAGTGCTCAAAAATCTAAACGGTATTGTTCTAAAACGTAAAAACGTGTACGATACAAATTTGGAATTTTAAACTTCTTGAAACTGGACTGCGTAATAATATAATGTATATCCATTTTAAGAGGTATGTCTAGGCCAGTGGTGTCCAACCTTTTGTGAATACTGGGCCACATCATGTAGGTAGAAGTTGTTGTGGGCCACATACTTTTTTAAATAATAATACATTCTAATTTAATAATTAAATTATAATCTATACTAAAACAATACATTTTTTTTTATAATTTTACATTAGCGAATAATAAGCAGAAATATTTTTACAAGAATTGATATTTAATAATTTAATTATAAGTACACAGAAATTATATTTATTTATAATAAAAAAAGTTTTTGTAACGGTTAGGTAGGTAACTGGTAGGGACTCAGAAGTAGCTTTTTTAGTATTGTGTTGCTGAGAAGAAAGACATGTTTTTAACTATAAAATTTTTTGTTTCCGAAAAAAACCTTGATAGGAATCTATTTTGGTTGCATGTTTTTGTAAATAATGCCTTTTTAAATTATAATCTTTAAAAACTGAAATGGTTTCCTTACAAATTAGGCATAATGCCCCATTTTTCATTTCTATAAAAAAGTATTCCGCTGTCCACTTTTCGTTGAATATTCTTCCTTTATCCGTTACTTTTCTTTTCTTATTGGACGACATTTCGCTATTTGATTATTAGTTTATTATAAAAATCAAATTATTAGGTATTTTATTTTTATTCTTTGATAAATGACACAGAATATTGGTATCGGAGCCAATAAAGATAAAACACTAATAATGTTTATCTTTAGGTCCGATGCACACGTCCGTATGTAATATAAGATAAGATGCCGCAACGGTAAAAACACGGACGNTTTTTAAAATAAATTTGTTCTCGTAATATTAATATATTATATATAATTAATTCATGGTTTTTAAATTGAAGTGAGGGCCGCATCGAAATCTACCGCGAGTTGGACACCCCTGGTCTAGGCAAACTATTTGCATATATGCATGTTCATTCATATTAATTTTGCCGCCGAATTAATTTTAAAAATTTGTTTTTCTATTCTTTAAAAATAAGCATAAATGTAAATAGTTTGCCTACTCATATCCCTAAAACGTATGTAATATACTATTTCTTGTTCAGATTTTTTCAGACCAGATTTTTACAAATATAAAAATATTTTAAATAAAAAATAAACTTTTTTGAAAATGCATCCAAATGTTAATCGTAACGCAAAGATCATTTTTGGTCATCTACATCCCACTTGCTTTTTGTTTCGCATTAAAGGACCAAACATGATCCTCGTGTTATGTTGTACATTGGGGTAAAATTTTCAAAAAAATCTGATTAATTTTTACCACATTTTCCACTGAAATCGCATAACTTCAGTAAGTACCCGTTTACTATAAAACCATAAGAGATAAGATTTTTCATCAAGAAAAGAAAAAGTCTTAGAATAGGCCACTGAATAAGTCCTGATAAACGGTAAACAGAAAAGTGTAATATCCAAGGACTTGGGATTTTGAATATTAATTCCTAGGGTATTGCATTCAAAATATAACTTTTAGGCACGTCTAATAGATCAAAAATAAATATCGATAAAAGTGCTGTTGAAAACCATTTTTATAGATATTATTTCGTATAGGTAATAGAAATATTTTACTATTTTCATATTTTTAATTGATCTATTAATATATATATATAATATCTATAAACAAAAAAAAAACCTTTCTGTTACTTACCTGACATGGTTTTGCACAATAAATTAAAAGTTATTTTCGTTTAAAATGTATTTGTTACTTGTTAGTATTATTTAAAGGCAGTATATCACTCATGATTCATGAAAGGAATCAGAAAAGAGGCACGTCTTATACGATCTAGTAAATAAGCAAAAGAAAGTCCAAAAATGTATTTATATATAAGTAGTTATCAAACCTTGTATTGAAGTTCCTAAGAATAACGCGTTATCCAATACGCCAGGATCGAATGTGAGGAACATTTGAAAAACAACTAGTTATTAAACCGAAACTATAATAATGAAAATATTTTCGTGAAAAATTTGATAATAAAATTCTTATAAAAAAAAAATTATACATTAAACTCAATATTTTTTTTTTTTTTATCATAAAGTACTACTTCTATTGAACACCGTGTTGAATTTTCAAGCATTTTAATTCTAAGTAGTCTAATTTAATTTATAAAGCTCAAGTATAGCTCAAATGTTTTGAAAATATGTCCACGTTTATAAAAGGAAAACATAAGTTTTCTGTTCAAGTTTCATGTCTTTACGAATATTTCCGTTTGAATTATAACGAAAAAATAAAATTTTTATACAATACAAATTTTATTTTTCACATTTTTTGTTGTTTTTTGTTTTATCCCGATTATTATAAAAACTATTGTGAAAATCAAAAAAAAATCTTCTTTTGTTGAAACCGCTTGAAAAATCAAAAAATTACCTCTCAGAGTCATTTTTAAAATTTCCTTGATAAGTTGCAGGGAATATAGTACAGAGGAATTTAATGTATATCTGTTAGAAATAAAAAAATAATAAAATAAACATCTTTGTAAAACCATAAGCTCTTTCGCTCTACTCAGAATCTAAAAGTCTCGAGGGCAGATCTATTGCCATGATCCACCTACTTAAATACGCCACTCACTGACACGAACAGTGGCGTAACTAAGAATAGAATCAGATGGTGCGATCGCACCCGGACGCGTTTGCTTATGGGGGGAGGGGACCGAAGTAAAACAATGTTTTTGAACAGGTAAAAGTGTCCAANCGTGCTGCATCGCAAAATAACGATAAGAATATTAAGCTGTACCGATAAAATGGCTGGTAACAATAATGATAAAGTTCATAATGAATAATACAAGTATAGTATACTCCTATGTACCTGTGCGGCTACACAGACATACAGTATAGGTACATCACTTATTATTATATTAGCCATTATATGTACCCAATATACGAGAATATTTCTCGTTCGGCTCAGGACTATAAAACAATCAGAAATCACAATATATAGGTACGGTCAATTAATTATCGACCGAATAAATACATGTATATAACGTTTTATACTGCTGTCCTGTCAAAATACTTTTCGAATTCCATTAGGTAGGTAGTTTTTGGTGAGTGTGTTTGTGTGTTTGTGTACGTGCGTGGGTTTGTGTGCGTGTATTTTGTATATAGGTAATGCGTTCCGTTTGTTCGGATCGAATTACTATTATTGTACCTATTACACCCGGACGATCGACAAAATATACACGAACAAATGACGGTCGCCGATACGTTATAAATGTTACGTTATCGTATTGCCGGATCATTAACCGCAGAGGTACTGCGGCGTCCATGTTCGGCGGACGAACGGCGGCGAAGTCAAAAGGACTGCGCGTACCGGGTGGGCCCTGCAGGACAGGGTTGTTTAAAAGAGGTGGTTCCGAGATCGGAGATAACGCTTAGGTATAGAAAATACCGCGTTTATTTTTATTCGTGTGTGGTCCCCGTCTACGCCACCTCTATTGTGTCCGTCCGCCACTATATCTGCTGCAGGTGTTACCGGGAGAGATTTACGTACATTATGAATGCGCTGCAGGTGTGGGTATAATATATCGCGGACACATAACATATACTGCACAACAGGACAGGACCGTGTATAATATACAGGGTGATTATATTATCGTTCATTTATTGAAAATCAAAAGTTGATTGTACCTATACGCGCCTACCTATAATAATATTATGATGCTGTTTTTCGGGTTAGGCGAAATAATCAACGAAAAAAAAAATAAAAATAAAAACTGATAAGTACTGTCACTGCAGGGTTGTTGGTGGAAAGTTATAAGGATATATAGATTATAAGGTAACGTAAGTTATAGAGTGAAATAATACAATTTATATCTTTAGGCAACGATAAATCACTGCTAACGGAAACGATTCTGAGTGATGTTCGGTTAAACATGATGTGAAATGTTATGAGTCTTACGATTTTAGTCTAAATTTGATACTTGATACTTGCAATTTTTCATAACAATTTGTAAATCTCTCTCTCTCTCCCGCTCTCTCTCTTTGTTTATTGTTATCAATCTTCACACCATCCATTACTGTTATCCGCTTTCCTTTTTAGTAGTAGGTAAATACAAATCATTTACGTGAACTTGTAAACAAGAATTTATTTTGATCATTCGTGGTTTCATTATTCAGTATTAATTATTTCTTTATCGATATTCGATAATACTTAACTAGTTACATATTGAAATGCTATTTTTGAGAATAGTCTAGACTAGTCATGGTTTAAATATTTATTTGGAATAAATTTATTTATTTATTTTACATAAATTACTGGTAATGAATGTTAATTGATAAAAAGTGAATCAGATTTTCAGAATTGGGTACATATAATGGCTAATATAATAATAAGTGATGTACCTATACTGTATGTCTGTGTAGCCGCACAGGTACATAGGAGTATACTATACTTGTATTATTCATTATGAACTTTATCATTATTGTTACCAGCCATTTTATCGGTACAGCTTAATATTCTTATCGTTATTTTGCGATGCAGCACGTTTGGACACTTTTACCTGTTCAAAAACATTGTTTTACTTCGGTCCCCTCCCCCCATAAGCAAACGCGTCCGGGTGCGATCGCACCATCTGATTCTATTCTTAGTTACGCCACTGTTCGTGTCAGTGAGTGGCGTATTTAAGTAGGTGGATCATGGCAATAGATCTGCCCTCGAGACTTTTAGATTCTGAGTAGAGCGAGAGAGCTTATGGTTTTACAAAGATGTTTATTTTATTATTTTTTTATTTTTAACAGATATACATTAAA